TTAATTTTTTCTATTAAACAACGTTTTTTATATTCGGGTCACGCGTCCACTTAATGACGGCAAAATATTCGAAATTAGGTGTTAAAGTATCCATTAAACTGCCGTCACAAATAATTCTCGTTTCAAAACGAATTGATAAACAATTGCAATCGTTTCAAACCGGAAAGAATGAAACAGTTTTGCGATCGTCATATTTATTGTGACATATTTTGTCCTAGCAATAACGTATCACAGCACCGCATTTGCCCAGATTTGTCATGTGCTTATAGTGACCTCCCTTCCAGAAAAATCAAATCGAAAATGACGTCGGAACGAGCGAAAAAATGACGGACAACTGAAAAGACCGGATAAATCGAATAAGGAAATTGTGCGTGGAATTGAGTCTGAGTAAATAGCAAATGTCATCGTTTGTAGTCGGAAAAACATCGTGAAAAGTAGTGGACTAAACATTACAGAACCGAGCCATTGTTTATGGTGTAGGTGCTCATTTGATGCTTTATAAAATACATGTAGTACCCCATTAAATATGACCCTTCAACAAAAAATAAAAGAAAAAAATCCTAGATCTCTAAAAACCTTATTAAATTTGGAATCGGGTAGTGTAAAAACTAATTGCTGAAAAAACATCAAGAAGTTTAAAACTAATTGCATGAAAAAAAATATCTGGAGCTCTTAGACTGGCTGATGATTTGAAAGTATGCTCAGCAGGAGATGTGTATGCACATATTAACAATATAAGACAATATGCTTTGTTTCATGGTCAAAATGACCTGCTGGATAGTATTATGAGCGTAGATCACATTATTTATACACGAATTTCTACTAAATAACAAAATCAAACACATATTGATGACTTGTTTTTTAAAAAAGGCATCAATGTAATTATGAAACTACTGTTATACATACATAATATTGTACAGTTTTTGTTAGTATAAAAAGATGTTACTATATCTATGACTTGTAATGTAAAAAAAAGTCTCGAATTTTCCATAATTCTATTAAGAGACCACTTTATTAAGAGACCACTTTTTGGCAGTCCCTTGAGTGGTCTCTTCATACAATGTCGACTACATTGAGCCTATTACAACATTTTATAGAATAGTTACAGTAGGTTGCATAAAAAATGTTAATTAATTTAACACAGGTTGATTCCTGTAAGAAATCTTTCAAATCGGATTTACGTTTGGAAATACATGTATCGGAAACATAGACTAACATTCAACCAGACTGACATGTGACGTCTTTGCGATAAACCATAGAGAATGATTCTATGACAACGGTTTTAAGATGTGTTTTAGTAAAGCAAAGCGACCGAAAATCGAACCATTGTTCTTACTAGATTTCCTTGATATTTAAATTGATTTTAGAATATTGACATTTAGCAAATATATCACCAGTTTGATTGTTGACATGTATTTTATCATATATAGATAACATAATTATAGTTACATGTTGAAAAATTCATTTTATGACTTTATATAAAAAATGTTTACAGTAATTAATTAAAGTCCGATTTTTATCGTAATGATATTTCACAACAATAATGTTTATCTAAATGTAATCAATATGAATCTTACAACAAGTACAAAGTAGTATTTTTAATCCACTTATATTTAAAATGATGATAACATTTGTGATATTTAGATAGATCTATGGCCATGTCTGATTTCCTTAATCGTTATCTATCTTACAGTTTATCACCCAGTGAACCGCTTAGCCTCACCCCACCCCTTTCTGTTTCCGGTCCAATGATGATAATTATAATCAAACCTTAATAATAATGTTGAATATATCAATTGTATAATGGACGTTAAACTGTTACGGTAAAGAAATGACAACTTTATGTGTGGTGTTTGTTTAAATTATAGCCTGTGAAAAATACGAGCATGAGGAAATTAGAAGTTATTGCAGTTTTTGTACTTGGAGCTTTTCTTTCTAGTTTGTACATATTTGTTCTATAATTATTAAATGTCTTTAATGATTTTTAAATGAAATATTATTGCTACACATGACGTCAGCCCGCTTAGCTCAAGAGAGAGAGCATCGGATTATAAATTCAGAGGACGCTAGATCCTCGGGTAGGGCGTTATTTTCTGCATGACAATTTATCTCAGTCATATGTGTCTATTTACCTGTCACTAACCCCTGATTCAGAAATCAGCTGGGATAAGTAGTCGGTCACTTGCAGAAAAATAAGTATTTACTGGTTAGTTATCCAGTCACATCGGTTAGGAAGATAGACCGCCTAGATATGACCAATTACATAATTTATGTTAAAATCGGCATTAAACAGAGAGGAATAACAAAAGTACAAATAATGACTCAATACGTATATTTTCAGCCAACTGTACTCATTTTAAAGTAAAGAGCAAACTAACCGGAGGTGCCTGTATCCTTATGAATATAGATGCAACGTTTCAACTTACTTACAAGTCACAGGTAATACTGTTGTATATATAAACTTCAGAATTTATTTGGTGAATTCAGAGAGTGATTGCAACAAATAAAAGAATATAAGAACAGGAATCAAGAAATAGGCGATACGTCGTAAATATTATGCAACTTGAAAATTGTGTCGAAGTACCGAAATCTCAGGAAAGGTAGAGTCACACCAAAATTAAAGTCATACAAAATGTTTTACTGGTCTATCATATTCCCCTTTATTAGTTGTATTTTATACTATTAATCCCATAGGACCAGATAAAACCAGGGTTAAATAGGGTGCACTTTTACTACATCTTTCACACACCTCATTCAGTTTATAGTATAAAAATTCTTGAAATTTGGAAAGAGAAATCAATCAAGCGAGCGCAATGAATATTAAAAAAGAGGCATATTGGACAAAAGCAAACGTAGTTTCAATAAATCTCTAATGTCAGAATATAAATTAAACTAAAATGAATGTAAATAACATTTTTAATACAGTAGGATCGTTGTAACATTGTCATTACTCATTCAAATCAAACCGACCTGTAGTGTTACAGAGCAGTGTAATGTGCAATCATTTATTTTGTCAGGGAACATTACAATTTCATTTCTTTATGTTTTAAAACATAAATTGTATGAACAAATTATACCGAATGTAAATTTAATAGATTCCTCTTAATTATAAGAATTACAATATACCCGATACTTTTTTGTACTACATCATTTTGTTTCTTTACAATTTCAGGTTGCTAACTTGTTCGATTTAAAAGGAGCATCAGTAATTGGTGCCTCTAGCAAATGTGGAAATGTATTTCTTGGTTCAACATCTGTTTTATCTGTGAAACTGTTCCCATCTGAAGAAATGCTCATGTTTAGATTTACAATACAGAACAATAATGTCAATGTGTCAATGAGATTTATGTTGGACGCCAAAAAGCACTTTCAAGATATGAATTCTACACTCCCAGTACAATTAAATGACACACATCATCTTCCAATAGGAACGGATTCACCAAACTCATACAAATGTATTTCTGAGGAAACGGTTGCGTTCAATTCAACCAATAATTTCCATTTAACAATGATGATTACCAATTTACAAGTGCAAGCGTACGACATAATAAACAGCGTCTTTGGGCCAGGTAAAAATATATACATGTCTACTTTATTTATTTCTTTTAAAAACATACATATTTAAGTCAGTCAAAGTAAAATATTTACATGACCAGGCTTAACGTAATTCATTGCTTTAATTGAGCGTTTCTGATATATTATCAATTTTATTCTTTTCCTGTATGTAACAGCCGAGTATAGGCTGTATCCCTGTGCCAAAGAAAAGCTAAATTTTCCTCTACACATGTCACATTTGTATGGAAGCCTTGGAGGGTCACTTTTGAGTTTCGACTTATAGATTTATTTTACTATATTCTTATGACTTTTGACTTATGACTTTTGATTTATGACTTCTGATTTATGACTTTTGATTTTTGACTTATGGATTTTGTTATTGTTCCACGTGCTTGCCTCATAATTTCAAAGGAAAATATGACAGAATATGACAACAATTCAGACGAGGTAAGTTCATTTACCTAAGTTTCCTGGAGACTTATTTAAAACACAAAATATGTGGGCTCATATGCAAGAAGAGAATGTTATTCTTATATATTAAGCCTTTTTAATTGATTAAGAAAAGAAAATACTTTGCTTGTATTTCATTGCATTGGGTATCCATTTTTTATTTTGATTTCCGGTACAGGGATATATAATCTCAAATTGACATACAGCGTATGAATCAAACACTTTATTTTTATATGGGTTCCAGTTTTAAATCCAAACCAGTCTCGCATTGTTGTTTGCTGCAGTTTCAATCGGTTTTCACCCGTAGTTCATTCTTCGTCCATCTAATACTGAATATAGACCAAATTATATGCCTTATTTTTGACATAGAAATTTGTAGTTAAGAAGTTTCATGAAACATGGTTATTTCAAAAACAATAATCATACAGCTTTGAAAACTTGTTAAAAACACGCTCTAAAGTTATAAATCTCTGAATTGCATTGTTATCAATTATGCCTCTTTTTCGACTTTGAATTATGGTTTAGAATTTTCATGAAAAATGGTTCTCAAACACTATTTTTAGTGATTCCTTTGAAATTTAAAACACATATTAAAGTGTTGACATCTAAGGTCAATGACCAAGTTTTCGTATGAGTGGCTTACAATTTGACATACTTATGCCCATTTTTGAAACTTTATTCACTTGTTCAGTATCAATAACTTAGGACACCTACCAAGTACAGAGTGCATTTATTTGAATATAAACTTTTGTATACAGTTATGTATTAAGGGATTTTTTTGTATTTCATTTTGTATGTATATGTATTTATTTCAATTGAGAATAACACATACTTTTAATGTTTTTTAATTTTAATTCTAGTATAAAGCTACCTGTAGGAATTAAGGACGTGCTGTCGAATGGTTTCAACTACAAAACAGTTGCAAGAACATCAGCAATACATATTTGTCAAGTTTTCGGAGCCAGTTTAGAAGACTAAGAGGATTCATTGCAAAACAGCGTCCGTTCTGAGTGGAAAGTAGTACAGTTTAGCAAATGCAAAATTTCTAAACACTGGTGATTTGGTTTTCTTCGTTATTGTCTATGTAATTATTCAGACATTTTCGGAATACAAGAAATTTCAGACGCTCGATAATTTTTAAGTTTTAACCCAATGACTTATTGTGGACGCTTTATTGCGAACACGCAATGTAACGTCCCGCCACGTTTATTTTATACTGTCCATATCTCCAATATGGTATAAAACTTGTATCTATAGACAGGTCATGGTGAGACAGAGAAAAGTGTGAAAAATCATGTATTCATAATTCTGGCTTTCATAATTTTCAGTATTTGCCCGTTGAAAATTTTAAAACTTAAAAGAAAGGTATCGAAATCAAACTTTGCATGTTCATATAGCTTGGCGAGGCAGAAAGATACATATTTCTTGCTATCATAGCTATCAAACATTTAGAAAGTCCCCCCTTTTTCTTTTTTTTTTTTTCATTTTTACATTTTGTTAAACTCATAATTATCTCAAAAACTGTTGAAGGCATCAACTTGAATTTACTTGTGTTGTTAACAAAACTTTTGATTATAACATTTAATCGTTCTCCTAAGTTAAACATTCCCTTTTTCGACATGCTGTGGGTTTGGAAAAACTATGAGATTTCCATATAAAGTCGGTTATTCTTCGAAAAAAAAAAAACAACTTGTGGACGTTATTTAATATATATATTATACAATATATACAGTTTCTTAAAGTTAACAAGGAAATTTATAGCTAGAGACTGTGTTTGTTTTTGTTTTTTTTTGTTTGTTTGTTTGTTTGGTTTTTCTTTCTTTTGAACATTTGGAAATAAGAAATAACGCTCTGACAATGATTTTAAAAATCTTGACTTCAATAATGATACAGACACTCTAGCGTTGCTAGTTTACCTAATTTATCTTATGTTTTCAAAAGCTTCATTAGAACACTCATGATTGTCTTAGTTTTTCATCAGTAACGTATCAACAATGTGTTGTTTTGTAGAACTATTGCATGTATATATGTCATCTGTGACGTAAATACTTGAAGTTTTTGTTGGTGGCAGTGTTTATTTTTAGCTGTTCCTAAGTGTAAGCTAAGTAAGGCACATGTGCTATTTTAGAAAAAATGCTAACCTCTGTATTTCTTATCTCTTTTTATAAATTAAATATAATGAAGCTCAATTTCAGTTTGTTTTGCCTATCTAATACATTTGTTTCTTATAAGACAACGATTTTGTTAAATAAAATAAAGCACGGTTGTAGAATAAAAATTGTTTGTTGTTATCTGTTTAAACGCATTTTATTCCAAAAACATTATTGATAGCTCTGCCAACCTGTGACGGTCTAGACTGTGAGGTAAAAAACCTTTGGTAGTGTGGTCTCTCAGTAGAGGTATATTTAGATAGTCTGTTGAGGAAGTTGGCTGGTTCCTCACAGTTTACTTCTTTAGTGATTGCTATTCTATTTCTTCTCTGCTCATTTCAACCTCTTACTTATAATTTTAATGGAACACTATCTCTACATAGATAAATAAATTCTCTGTAACATTTAAATACTGTTTATTCCGGTGGTAAATTGCAAGTCTATTTTGGTTATAACAAAGTTACAATAACACAATAATAAATTGTCAACAAATGAGGACAATGTATTTTTATCAATCAGGACCAGATATAATATGAAAATGTAAATAAGTACATGTACAAGTTTGAAGTAGAAATCATCAAGAGTTTTCAAGTCATATCTGTGTCAAAACCGTTCTCTAAAATTTATTTTATACCTACAAATGTTCTTCCAACGGATAGAAAATTCCGTGTTATGTTAGTGACAAATACGGAACCATATATGTAAATGCCGGATTATTTTTGACTTTGGTTCCGATCTTAGCTGTGAGGAAACGGGAACCAAAATTATAAGAGGCGTCGCCGGTTTTGCATTAAGTACGTATTCATCCGTCAGTCATAAATTTATTTTTCACTTTCTGAAATTTCTTATAGAAGTGAAGTTTAATGAAAATCATTTTACTTAAAACGAAAAGTATATAATAAAAGTTAAATTATGTTGTAGAAGCTTTCTGAGGCTATGCATTTTTCTACTTGCAACATTGGAAAATTGATATCTCACTCGACCTTCGGTCTCGCGAGATATCAATTTTCCATCGCTACTTATAGCAAAATACAAAGCCTTAAAAAGGTACTACTTAATAATATTCCGTATATGTATCTTCTTTAATTTAATGTATTATAATGCCTAACGCTTGTACCCTCTTTACAATGTTAATTAAATTTGTAATAAAGCTACACATCTAGAAAATAGTTCAGAACTGTTTAATCTGAATAAAAAAATCGTTATTTATCAAGAATAGTTTACTTACTTTAATACTTAATGCTGCAGACGGCAATTAAAAATAAATGACGAGAACTAAAACTTCTATAATATGATTTCACATAAACAATTGATGTTGATTCTTCACGTAAAAAGATCAACTATGATAAAAACATATGAATGCAATAATTCTAATGCAAAAATGAGGCTAGTGGCTTAATGTACATGTAAACATTATATGACTTCAACACCACTCTCGGCTGATGTGCTCCCTTGCGTTTGGTGATTGTATCACAAATTTGCTTATTTTGCAATCTAAAATCAAGTAAACTAATGTTTATACAAAGGCAAAGAGTAACAGCAAATGGCAAAAGTTATAAGTCAAAAGATAAAAGTCATAAGTAAAAAGTGATAAATTATAAGTGAAAAGTCACAAGGCAAAAACCTAAAAAAACCGAGAAAATAAGTCAGCATTTATTACATAGATCAATTATTATTTTTGAAATAACAATCATATATATTCCTTTTAAATACCATAATACTCGTATGGTTGCTATTTCTTGCGAATGAATAAGACGTTTGAATCTAATTAACATACTTGAAATTATACGTATAACTTATATATCATGGTACCAATCTATTCAGTAGATGATGTGCAATCTCGGTCGGGACAGAACTAGTCCTGTAAGGGGTTCCGGGTTCGAATCCCGGTATGGAGCCAACTTTTTTTTCTTCATTTTCTTCTTTTAACAGTATTCTTGTATTTTTCTAGGTATATTTAAATGGAAAAATATGCTCGTTTTATATTATTATCTTTTTTACAGATATTCATTGCCTAGTAAATGCTAAATCTAAGAGCAAATACGACATATAACATTTTCAATGCTTTATACATTACAAACTAGCCGGTAAAAGCCTTCCATATTTCACAAAATGAATCAATATACTTCTAGAAAGATTTTAGCATACTTTGATACATGCCCTTTGACTAAATGTAATTTTAGTGATTTTTTTTAAATTTAGAATGATATGATAGAAAATGTTCAAATGGGTGGGGAAGAGAAATATTTCCATGCATATTTGTATTCTGTCGAGAATAGTCATGCATTTAACATGCATAGTTCACTACTAGAATGTTATTATTTGCATCTAAACAAACAACACTTGCAAAACATGCTTAAATGAGATGACACGGATACTTTTTAGACTTTCAGTACATGTATTTCTTTTAAAAAGCCTTTTTCATGTATATGTTCTGACTCAAAATAATGCCTACAACTCAAATCCGTACGGTAAATTTTGCTTAAATTTTGCATACAGGTGTCCTTTAGGTATACCACTCAACAATGTTATCAATTTTACAATGCCTTATAGTGCAAATTAGAGTGGTTATAACTTAAATGATAATCTATTCTCAAAATTAAATCGTTCAACTCGGTACACAGTTGTAGTACTGAATCAGCGTCCAATGGCATCTGCAGATCTGGCTTCAGAAGGGGTGCTAATTCTACGAATTCCGCATTGTCTTTTTGGGCGTGAATACATGTTCTTTGCAAATATATACATCTCTCAAGTTAACTGCATTGCTGAAGTTGTGAGTTTCATACAGACCTGGTACAAAAAAAAACAGTGTGTCAGGTTTACCACAAATAACAGAAGAACTGGTTTGTTGCCTTATTTATGTTCAATCTGGTCTAACTAGGTTTGTATGAGGTCCATAAAGCAAAATTTTAAGTTCTCTCATTGTATCGGGTCCAGATCATTAAAACACATGTATCGCGTAAGTCTTTGAAAAAAATTAATCCACCAATGGATTCCATTTTGTCGTAATGTACACTACCACTTCTCAATGCGTTAGTTAGATGTGCTTTTTCCAGCTACAACGCTTCGAGTACCAGCAATCGGATCTGTAGAATCGTGTCTGAAGTATTTCTGCAATAGTAAAGCAATGCAGTTTTCCGTACCAAAATCACATCGTCGTATTGGGTGGGGGGGGGCTTGATAATGTTCATTAAAGGTGTTTAAAAGTATCTTGCAATAAGGTGTGGGTCGTTATTTGAGTCCGAAATCTCTATTTATATTATTTTTATACTATACCCATTCACAGCACCATGGATACAAAATGCTTATGGTTTAAGTTTGTCTTAACCGTCCATATGTCACATAAAACTGTCCTTTGGCGTAGGATCAAGCGCTCTCATTATTTCCATGACGTCGTCCCCCTTGATGTACATGTGGTAATCCAGCATTAACCTACGCCATATTGTACGGTATCCTATGCATTGTACTGTCCACTTCTTTGTATTTCTCTGTTTATAACATCAGACACAGTTTCAAAAGGAGTATATATTCCATTACGCCGTTTTAAATTTAAGCGTTTAAAAAGTCTATTAACTGTACTAAATGACGTCGTAATGCCATGACGTACCAGAAAGTTCTCTATTATCAACAGAGTTTTGTTTGTTATAGATGTTAAGGGTAGGTATCTTGGCACGGTAGCTTTGGTAATGCCGAACAGTATAATGATGAAGACACAGATCAACATCAAGGTTTTCATCCTCGTTACCTTTTGTCCTGTAGTTGTGTCTGAAATAAGAGTTTATCTTTTATCTAAATCTTTATACATTCATATTATATAAAATGGGTAAATCTCTGAGCTCCGTCTTTTAAAGATTGATAGGTGCCAAAAAAAACATAACATTTAAAATGCTAGTAGGATATTTTGTTCAAACTGGTCCTATATCTTTTTGTTTGTTCTTAAGTGTTCTTTTCTCAATTGTTAAAATATACAACAAAATTAGACATTGATGCTAAATGCAAATGATGCTCGATCATAATAAGTAGTTAACTTTGTACTTGTGTGTATGAACATAGCACTCGCCGTTCTTTATGAAATTGGTCAACACTATCTAAGTACTTCAGAGAAATACTGATTCTGTGTTAGCTCAATAAAATGCTGAATTGCGATACATGTTTAATACCGTGCACCATGCTATTTTAAGACGTAAAACTTGTATTCCCTGTCTACTTGTAAATCAGTTATTTGTTTGTTACTCATGGACAGATTTTGTGATGAGGACAAAAAATGAATCAGCACTAATATAATGAACATATTTAGAACATAGCAGATTGCACAAAACACACAGTCACACTTGTGGAATTAAAATATGTGATATATTACCACTATGGGATTATATCAAATAACATTAAATTCCCTCCTAAACACATCCTCTCCTCCATGAAAAATTTGAATGAAATTATTTAAAACGTTTGAAAAACATACCTGAAACCAAAGTTGCTGCTTTCAGCTTCTAAAGCACGTGTAAAATGGGTAAGCCAAAAGTCATAAGACGTAAGTCACAAATCAAAAGTGAAAAATCGAAAGTCAAAAGTAAAACATCCGTAAGTCGAAACTCAAAAGTGACCCTCCAAGGCTTCCATACATTTGTTAAAGGACGTTGACTTAACTATCACCTTGAAGATCGTTCAACACGACACTACTGTTGTGTTTGTGGTACCTTTGGTTATTTCTATTCGGCCTTTTCCTACTTTCCACTTTTCCTTACTGGAATATCGTAAAATCACCCACAGGAAATGTTGCCTACTTTTTATTTTTTTCTTTTGACGTCTAATCTGTGATATGGCTTCATAGCCTCTGACCCCTTTTAAAATTGATTTTATTTAGTTCCGCCCATTATTTTCTCATTTAGGGCACATGCATTCTTTAACTTTAGGATCATACGGCTCTGTTCGTGAAATGGCACGGAAGTATCGCATTTTCGTTTTGGGCTTTCTTTGTGGATTCTATTTCACTCGTTTTTGTTGATTAACTAAATAGACTGGAAAACATTAGAGTTATTTTCTGCTTGATTAATTGTAGTAAAATAAACCATTTGTTTCCATGTTTGACTTTGTTGCACTCACAGATTTTCACACTACATTTTACCGTTTTTTTAATTGTTGTCTTATTTTAATCACAGACAAATGACATTTTATTATTTTTACCTATAATAAATAAAACAAATATTTAAGATAAATATATTGATTTCATAATCTTCACCCATTAACTCGGGACATACTTTCAGCATGTCATCTATATGACTCAACATCTTCTTATTTCAATAACAGTCACACCTGTACCATCAGGACTAGCTACCGTTGCACACACCACAACGCGCTGGTGTATCGCTATACGTATTTCTCACGTACCACAGCTAACACTCTCCACACACCACCGTACAAATTCAACTACTGATTCATACACGCTGCTTACAGCACACACACTAGAACGAGACATTCCAGCACCAGAAACAACAACAAAACCAATAAGTACATCGAGTAAGCCTAAATCTACCACTGAATCACCGCGTGATCATAAGTATGTGGTTCGAGACAATAAGGAAGTGTGTATTGTCTTACAGGGAAATATAACGTTCGAAATATCTTATCAGGAGAAGGATGGAGGAGTAAGTTTAAAATTATTTACTGAATGACGGTTATGCATTTTCTCTTTTTTCTCTTTTGTTTCCTTCTGCTTCTTCTTCTTCCTCTTTGTCTTCTTCTTCTTCTTTTTGTAAATAAAACAATCCCGAAGAGCTTCAGGAAAAAAGAATACCGTCCAATGTCTATGCTACTATCAAATTGTACGTTTTCATTTGAAACAACTAGAATTTACTTTGTCCTAAATAAATGGACCGAGAAAGGATGTAAAACATTCACATTTACTTTAATTATTATAAGGGATGTTCCAATTTTGTTTTGATTTTCTACCCTATAAATGTCAAGAATTTAAAATGTGCCACACTCTTAGTTGAATATTAAGATTTTCGTTAAGAAACCATTTATTTATTGCTTAGACTTATACATTCTAGCAAACCATGTCTTACATTATTAGGCTACTAAAGCATTGGTTGCAGTTCCTGACGATGCAAATGTTAACGGAAATTGCAGTTACACCGCGACGTCACAAGAAATAACGCTGGCGTTCTTCAACTCAACTTGGATGTTGAACATTGTTGTCGTCAAGGGCGGCATAAGTAATGAACAGAATGCCAAATTGATTAAAGTTTTGTCGGATACAGCGGATTATTCATGGCAATATGCCAGTGTAACATATCAAGTCGACGATCATTTTCCTGGTGCAAAGAATGCAGGTAAATAGAATTCATATTTGTTTTCACTGATGTACTTTATGAATAATCATCACATACCCGTGCCGCTTTTGCCACTCCGTAAACATGGTATTGCACGGCCGTGCATATATTTCGATGTCGTCATTTACGTTTTTCGCAAACAGTGTAAAGATGCGCTAAATGTTTGCTAAAGTATCCGAAACTGTTTATGCTTCTTAGGAAAGAATAAAAATAAAAAACTGATTTAATAGCGGCAAATCTTGGTCTGCAATGGTCGCGCGCATAGAATCTGTTACCGCCAGCAGGCAGTCTAAGGATAATTAGTACATTTAATTGTCAAAGATGATGTGTTTACATTTATGCAAGTTAAATGAGAGCACTCCCCTTAGCATTTAAAGAATGTATGATCAGGACCTCGGCAAATGTGCTTTTCCTCCGTTTGTTGAATATAGATACAATCTAAAAACGTTCAAATATAATATATCAAATCACAAAATAAAAAATTAAAGCGGTTAAATAGCAATAGTTTAAAGATCATGTATGTTTTAATTGAGGTTGTATACCACACATAAATGAAATAATATATATGTATATAATTATATTTATAAAACAATTTTCAAACATCGAAGAATATGAAAAATATGAACTGCAGATATTTGTACATATTATATGTAATCATTAAAATATATGAAGTCATTTCTTATTTAAAAATTTAACTTAGTCTTTATAGAAAATAATATTTTATTACCTCCCTTTATTTACATGAAATGTTAAGTTCTGTAATATCTTTATAAGCATTGCTTTTTGGAACTTACAAAATTAATAAATCTTAATTTGAGCATCATATTTTTTATATAAAACCATAAAAAATTGTGTTACAGGATCTTTAAACAATTATATTTTGTCATTTACCATTTATGCAGTATAAATCAACATTGTTTAAAAAAAGTTAGTTTGAACATGTTAATATACTCATTTTTAATCTCAAATGAACAAACATGTTCTTTCTTAATTTAATTTATTTGGTTTCATTTTTGAACAAGGACATTATAACATAAAATATTAAAAACATTTAATGAAACATTTATGGTTTTCGTTTGTTTATTTATACCTTCAGGAGACATCATTACTGCCACGGCAGAAGACACTGTTGGTAAGTTTGCGGCTGGAGTTGACGGCTCGTATAAATGCAATGCTAAACAAGATCTTGAGTTTGAGAAAAATAAAAATATGAAAATGGACTTGAGCAAGATGCAGTATAGAGCATTTGGGAAAACGAACTCCACAGATTTCTCAGGCGCAGGTACGTGATGCTTGCGGGTTATCTATTATTGATCAAGTTATAATTCATTGATAGAAGTATATATATTATATATGAGTATTATCTATGCTATAGCTTGTCTTATGCAAAATATGAAGGAATTTACCCCTGTGTAAAATATTTCGTACCTCGTCACTAACGGTTTGAAAACCAAGTTTGCAACATTTTAAGCAGCATGCCTACAATCTTATGCTTATTTTCATGAAAATGTTTAAAATACATTAAAAAGTATAATATTGTCAAGTGAACACAAAAAAGTAATTTACACATTACAACGTCACTTAAAAATGGTCAGAAGATGCAATATGTACCCCTAACCTGCGTTAGTCGTCGCACAGTAGAAATATGGTGTAAATACTGCAAAAAAAATTATATTAACTTCAAACGAGATATAAACTAGTTCTTTAATTTTAAATGAATATACCTTTCCTAAAATCTAAGTATATTTTTCTCATAGTTGATTTCATTGAAATATACTGGCTCCTACTCTAGAGGCTTGTAGCTGTAAATACTATAATTTATATTTTCGCAATTTCCATGTGCCGTTCGCTAATTTAGACGCAAATATGAAATAATTAAACAATTTAAAACAAAAACAAAAATGAAGCGAGGTAATGACAACTGTAGCTGCGATTTTTTGTTGTTGTTTTATGTTGTTATTGCTTTGGTATTGTTGATAACGTCTAGCACGCGCCCATTTATCCGGGTAGACGCGATATTTAAACTAATGGTTAAATACACTCTATTGAAGACAGTTTATCCAAAATTTAAGCCTTCTGCTTGACAAAGAGTAAATTTATGTGTACATAGAATAGTATTTATACTTTTGCTATAGAATTGTCAAACAATTAATATTCTGGTATACATGTATTTCAAATATCGATTCATATGTTATCAAATGTAACTTCAATCGTATACATCGAAATAACATTCGATAATTTAATTAAGTTATAGAAATTTATTGTTTTTTGCAATTGGTGTAAGTATAATTCTCTTAGTAAATAATATGTGAAAATAATGTACTAAATTGTATTCAAAGAGTTATAAAATATCATTATACTTATCAATAGGTGTTTCCAAGTGTCCTGCGGACGATCATAACGGAGGTGGCGGTAGCGGTCAGAAAACACTGAGAATCTCAATTGCTTGTGCATTTGCAGGCTTGGTTTTCATAGTATTCGTGGCATGTGGTATTTCTCGATACAGGAAGAGAAAACGGGGAAATGGGCATTATAAAAGTGGTGAAAAGGGTCTGGTTAGAATAATGGATGGTTAGAAAAAGTGCGCGGACAATAATTTTTGCTGTCTATTTATGGATAAATATATCATATAATCTCATGACGGATGAATACAAAAATGGTTGCTTGGAGTATAAAACAGACTGACGATATGCTTATAATGGTGAGCAAGTAAACTTTGATTTGAATTTTTCTGGTGTCGCGCGCAATTGAATAGCTATATAAACACGTATACCAATAACTTTATACCATATATGAACATACAACGTTATTTATCGACGTGACATATCTTGTCAACCTGACAAATATGTGAACAATACACCAAAGCTTATCTCGTTAGTTCATATGAGTGAAAAGAAATCGGTCAAAAGCACCCCTGTGTCTTCTTGAAGCAATAAGAGGGATCTGTCGTCTCCCTTTGACCAAAAAGAAACAAAAAAACTCAGATCACTGTCTGAAAATTCTGAAATGGAGGATCCAGTAACACAAATACGCCTCTGTGATGAAGACCTTATAAAAATAAGCTCGCTTCTTAAAAGCACTTTTCAGACCAAACTCTCAACAATGGCTAGTGATCTTATTAATGGTGTTTTGTCGAAAATCAACTCTAAAGTCGAGGTATTTGAGGCTGAAAATAAAGCTTGCCAAGCAGAGTGTCAGAGTTCGAAACCCGGCTCTTCGAAACCGAGGCTAAATAAGACAGATCTGACCATTACTCTCGCCGTAACTTGTGACGCATCAGTGGCGTAACAAAAAAGTGGCGAATCCACGGACAGAATCGTGCTTGATGTTTTGGGGCAGTGGGGGTCGAGTTTAATATTGATGACGTGGATCGGTCGCACAGGGCTAAGGCATTCAAAGCTACGTCTTCACATATGAAACAAAAAGACATCATCAGACAGTTATCGTGCTTGATCTTCTCGGTAATAAAAGCAAGTTAAAAGACTCAAAGTTTAACGGCGTGTACCTCAATGCAGACCGTACACACACACGTAGCCTGTTGTTTCAGCAGACTCGAAAATTAATCAAATACATGGTTGTGAGCGGAACATGGACTGTAGACGGCGTAATAATGATAAAAGACAAATTTGACAACAAAGCCCGCATCGAAACAAAGAAAGATTTAGACTTATTTCTGTCAAAGATCAAAGACACAATGTTGACGACTTAACACTGTATAATATAATATGTCACGTTGTGTTTTAACTGTTTTGTTTTGATCATCCTGTGTGATTGTGATACTGATAACGTTTGAGTAACTGTTGTTTACAGTTTTGGAATAATTAGTCAAAGATTTCACTAACTGACTGTTATGAATATTGTTGCAGCTTTAACCCAGGTTATTATTTTCTTTTGTTTTAAAGAAGGCCTTAGAATCCTTAATACGAATTCGGCTTCAACTAAATTTTCAGCTATTTAATTCTTTTTAAATTTAGTTTTATTTTTTATATAATATTATGTGTTCTTCTTACAATGGTGAATATCTCATTTCCTAAAATATCACGGGAAATATAATTAGAATAACCTTACAATATATTCAAATAAAAACGATGTTTATCCAGTACAAATATCTTATTGTATAATTGTAGTAGACATACCTCTTACAGGTATGAATTACTTATTCTATAATTTTGTTATTAAGATTGATTCTATTGACTAAGTTCAACTACACGCAATTGTCCTGTTTATGATGTATCCGATTTGTCTAAAGTTCAGATCTACTTATTTCTTTTATTTAGATCTGAAGACGGCCTTCTTTATAATTAGGATTTCCCGAGAAAGCTATTTTTAGCAATGCAATAAAACCGGTTTTTACATAGGCATTAGAAGAAGTATCAAAATACCGTTTTACGTGAAAGTGGAACAAATTGTTTGTTTTTTTGTTAGCAAAAAAATGTTTGAAGTAACTTTTAATAAATTAATTGAAAAAATATTAAATTTTTAATTGGCAATATTGTTTTGCCTGTTTACACATGCACCTGTCGGCTATATGGACAACGCCATATTTGTTCTCGAAATCATGAAATTTACTAATTAGTATTGGTTTGCCCAGGGTTAAAATCGCTTTCAAAATTATGAAAGCTGGACGATGATTGGCTTTGTGAATAATTATTGTCACCAGAAAAAAATCGTATATGGTCACGCTCAGATCTAAAAGCGGTGCGTTATTTAGAGCTGATTTTAATCAAGATTTCAAGATTGTTCAAGATTCAAAAACATTTTACAATGTCCATCGCCATGTTCGGCGGTTCAATAAACACATAATGAGAAAAGTATGTACATAACGAGAATGAGATAATTATAAATTAATTAGTAAATAGATTAATAAACCAATCTTTTTAAATCTCTTACCAAACATACAAAGCTTATATCGTTCCAATTTCTATTCAAAGTACAAAAAAGAAAGCCACTAGATAAGTACATAGAACATAAATATGAGACATATACATACATAATATACAATCATTGTAAAACATATATATTTTTGTTCATAAACTTGAAATATCCCTGTTGTTTCTATTTTCCCCTCTTTTTCAGATTAAAAATATTGACTTGTCTTTACATACCTGTCATAAATGTAATTGATAACAATTATTTAATTTCATTGTTATTGTTGTTTCGTGATTTGTTTGTTTGTTTGTTTGTTTTATTGCTTTATTTTTTCTGTACCACTTTAATATTGAACAATTCATTTTGTAAAGGCTCTTATCTTCATGTAAAACCATGTAAAGTAGTCCCATTTCTTCATGTCTTACTGTACCAGGCAATGATTTTCTTCGTCAAATTTCGTCGATACTAAATAAAATTATTTTGAACTGAATATTAATTTATCTAAGGAGGATAAACTTTTTGTTTTCCGTACCATGATGTTAAAATTGTTATTTCTTGTTTTGATATTTGACTTTTTCTGCAAACATTATATAAATTATTCTGACTCTACATATTTGTTGAACTAATAATTGTTGTATTTTCTTTAAATTAAAAGTAATGATGCCCCAGTCATTTTGGTACAGTACAGTTGCATAAAAGTATAAATACTAAGACCTAACATTTCTCTCAAACTTAACAAGAAACAAAACACTTTTAGCAACAAAAAAAACCTCAAAATATCTATGCTTAATTCAACTTCTTGTAATCATTATGTTTTCATGTACATGTATGTTAATGTGGCGAAATTGGGACATTGTGTCCCTTTATATTTTGATGCCCTCGTTATGATATCATCAGAAGCATGCAATTACGTCCGCTTCCATGACCCCTGACACCTCAACAATCTCTTGTACGGAGCCCAGCGCCTGCGCTTTAACATGAACAGAAAAAAATCGTTCTTAAGTTCAACAGTTTATCCCAGCTTCCAAACGTTTTACCAACCTATATCATTTTTTTCTGTCCATTGTTTCCCAATAATAGTGTGCGCAGACTTATAGTCACTATTCTTTATCTTAATTCAAACGTTTAAATATTTTTTCTTCGACACATTTATATAAAACCATCTGAAAAATAACTTAAAATGAATACTAGCTAAAAACAATATTATATTTTGTAATAGAAATTGTTTGAAGTAATCTCCCAATATTATGAAATATCTTTAAAACAGAAGTTGTCTTATTCTGCTTCTCTAGACAAAAATATTCTAACAAATTTATTCATTTTCATAATTTTATTTGTTTCATTCTATATTATTCTAACTAAATATGTTCATATTTTTTATTGCAAGTACCTTATGTGTGGAAAGTTATTTACATAAGTCACATTTGACTTGTTTTCAAATCCACTAAATCTATCAGTGTGCTTGTACTCGTATATGCTTGTACTGTATACAATTTTGTTGTAAAAATTGAAATGAATATTGTTTGAACCAATTGGGTCACTATAGCTATGGCCTCATTTTATGAACTTTTGGAAACCAATATGAAACTTATGGCTTTTTTCAGATAGGTTGACAATGTATGAGAGAATTATGTTGATTCTTCTAAAAAAGCCCTTTTAACCTGTCTAAACATGTTCGTTGATCAGTCTACGCGCAAATGACACTGTATGAGATGCACTTTCAATATCGAATAAACTTTACTGAACTGTATAAGCATTTTGTTAAACTTTTAAATAAACATGTTAATAAATAGGTTGACCATATTTTAAGATATATTCTTTAGGGAGGATTTTTTCGGGGGGGGGGGGGGGGGGGTTAGGGGTTCTAAAAAGGACCATTTTGTATTTTCTCTATTTGATTATTTGTTTCATTTTTCATTTTTATTTTGAACAGTACATCAGTGTCTCACTTGTTAAATGTTCGCTGCTCAGTGTTTTGCTGCACAGTGTGCTGTTCCGTACTATTCGGTTCAGTACTGGTCTGCTCACTTGTTCGACTTAAAAGGAGCATCAGTTATTGATGCCTCTACCAAATGTAAAATTGTATTTTTTTGGTTTTATCTGTTTAACTTTTCCCTTCCGGAGATATGCTCATGTTTATATTCACAAGACAGAACAATCATGTCGGTGTGTCAATGAGATTTGTGCTTGATACGGCAAAAAGCACTTTCAAGATATGAATTCGATTCTACACTCCAAATTCAATTGAAGGACAAACATCATCTTCCGATAGGACCGGATTCATCAAACTCATACAAATGTATTTCTGAGAAAACGGTTGCGTTCAGTTCAACCAATAATTTCCATTTAAAAATGATGAGTGCAAGCATACCAAATAGGAAACAACGTTTTTGGGCCAGGTGAAAATATATACATGTCGATCTTTATTATTTCTTTTAAAAATCATACATATTTAAGTCAGTCAAAGTAAAATCTTTACATGACCAGGCTAAACATAATCCATTGCTTTAATTGAGCGTTTCTGGTATATTAACAACTTTATTCTTTTCCTGTATGTAACAGCCAAGAATAGGCTGTTTCCCCTTGCCAAATAAAAGCCAAATTTTCCTCTTCACATGTCGCTGTCCACATTTGTTCACAGGACTTTGACTAAACTATCACCTTGAAGATCGTTCAACACGACACTACTGTTGTGTTTGTGGTACCTGTGGTTATTTCTATTCGGCCTTTTCCTACTTGGGTGGTTCCACTTTTCCCTACTGGGATATTGTAAAATCACCCTCAGGATATGTTGCCTGCTTTTTAAATTTGTCTTTTGACGTCTTAACTGTGATACGACCTCAAAGCCTCTGACCACCTTTTAAAATTTCATTTTATTTAGTTCCGCCCACTGTTTTCTCATTTAGGGCACATGCAATCTTTAACTTTAGGACCATACGTCTCTGTTCGTGAAATTGCACGGAAGTATCACATTTCCGTTTTGGGCTTTCTTGGGGGATTCTATTTCACTATATTATGTTGATTTTTTAAATAGACTGGAAATCATTATAGTTATCCTCTGCTTGTTTAATTGTAGTTAAATAAACCATTTGTTTACATGTTTGACTGATTTCATATCTTCCCTGATTTTCACACTACATTTTCCCGTTTTGTTTTGAATTGGTGTCTTATTTTAATGACAGACAAATAACATTTTATCAATGTTTACCTATAATAAATAAAACAAATATTTAAGATAAATATCTTCATAATGGTCACATATTAGGTAAGGATGTACAAAACATAGCATCTTATATAACATCTTATTTCCTTCAAATCAGTCATTTAGTGTAATCAGGGCTTAGCTACATCAACACCACGAGTCCTGACATAAGTGATACCACAAAATGTTACATCGATGTCTGTTCCAGAGACGTTAACTACTGAACATACACCAGAAACAACAACAGAACCGCCAACAAAAATAACAAATAGCTAGTTCCACACACAACAACTCATTCAGAACCAGAAACAACTAGTCATTCCGAACCTGACAGAGCATTCCATTCTGAACCGATTACAACATCCCATTTGCAACCGGAAACAACATCTCATTAGGAACCGGAAACAACGTCACATATAGAACCGGAAACAACATCTCATTAGGAACCGGAAACAACGTCACATTCCGAAGCGGAAACAAAGTCACATTTCGAGCAGGAAACATCGTCACATTCCGGACCGGAAACATCTACAAAGCCTGCACCAGGAACAACAACAGAAGCAATAAGTACACCTTAGAACTTCAGAAAAAAAGAATACCGTCAAATGTCTATGTTACTATCAAATTGTGCGATTTCATTTGAGACAATTAGAATTTACTTTTAAAAAAATGACCTGAGAAAGGTCGTGAAACATTTCCATTTACTTTAATTAATATAAAGATTGTTACAATTTTGCTTCAATATAATTTCAATATTTCTATCTTTTAAATGTGCTACATTCTTAGATGAATATTGGGCTTGTTCCTTAGGATACCATTTATTCATTGCTAAGACTTATACATTCTAACAAATCACAACTTACATTATCAGGCTACTAAAGCTATGGTTGCAGTTCCTGACGATGTAAATGTTAGCGGTTATTGCAGTAACAGCGCGACGTCACAAGAAATAACGCTGGCGTTCTTCAAATTAAACATTGTTGTCGCCAAGGGCGGTAATGTATTGTACAGAAAGCCAAATTGTTTCAAGTTCTGTCCGACCCTGCGGATTATTCATGGCCATATGTCAGTATAACATATACAGTCTCCGATCATTTTCCTGGTGCAAACAATGCAGGTAAATTCAATTCATATTTCTTTTCACTTTATAATCATCAAATACCCGTGCCGCTTTTGCGACTCCGTAAAAATGGTATTGCACGGCCGTGCATATATTTCGATGTGTCGTCATTTACGTTATACGCAAACATTGTATAAATGGACCAGCAGCAGGCAGTCTAAGATTAATTAGTACATTTAAATGTCAAAGATGATTTGTTAACCTTTATGCAAGTTTAATGATACATATTGACGTTGATAAAGCAAGTAAGAGTACACTTCCCTTAGCATTTAAGGTATGCTCCGGACCTCGGCAAATGTGCTTTTCCTTCGATTGTTGAAATAAAATACAATCAAAATATATTTTATCAAATCTAAATATAAAAATTAAAGCGGTGTTAAATAGCAATAGTTTAAACAATTATCCTTTTTTCATAAACCATTTATTATGTATAAATTAACATTGTTTTAAAGAAAGGTAGTTGAAGGCTGGTATAAATGCAATGCTGAACAAGATCTTGAGTTTGAGAACAATATGAAAATGGACTTGAGCAAGATGCAGTAGAGAGCATTTGGGAAAACGAACTCCACAGATTTCTCAGCCGCAGGTACTTGATGTTTGCTATTCATTAACGATCATGTATGTTTTTCATGAAGCTATAATTCATTGATAAAAATATAGATATGATATATGATTATTTACTATGTGTCGTCCCCTTGAATTTTTTATGCGAAATATGAACGAATTTACTACTTTGTAATGTATCTCGTCACTAACGGATTGAAAACCAAGTTTGCAACATTGAAAAACGTTTTTTTTTTGTTTTTTTGTTTTGTTTTTTGTTGCTTTTTTTTGTTGTTTTTTTATTTTTTGGTTTAAGGTTATTTACACATTACAATGGCACTTAAAATCTGCGAAAATTACCAAAAATAGATCAGATGCAAAATACCACGTACTGCGTCATGCAGTAGAAATGTGGGGATAAATTCTGCAAAATTATACATTAATTGCACACAAAATGTAAACTATTTCTTGAATTTTAATTGATAGTAATAGACAATTCAAATAATGGATATCACTTATATATTTGCAATTTCCAATTGACGTTCGCTAATTTAAGCAAAAGACGCAAATATGAAATTAAAAACAAACAAAAGGAGCGACTTAAGGGCGACTGCAGCTGGCATTTTTTGTTGTTTTATGTTGTTATTGTTAAACGTCTAGCACGCGCCCATTTATCCGGATAGACGCGATATTTAAAGATCTTGTATGTTGTAACCACACTTCAGTGAAATTATATACATGTATATGTATATAATTATGCTTATACAACATTTTCAAACACCGGAGAGTATATAAATATGTACATGTACTGCAAATATTTGTACATATTATATGTAAGCAATTAAATATATGCATTCATTTCTTATTGAAAAAATTGACTTAGAATTTATAGAAAATATTTTTTTATTACCTCCCTTTATTTTCATGAA